CAGTCTAGGTTTAAGACAAATTATATACATATCTATGGTATTAAAAAAAAAATTGACTTATAATAAATTCCAAATTAATCATATCACATTATCACAATATCCATTAGGTACTTATAACACGTTATACTGTATAACTTATACATCAACATCAATAACAAACCCTGATACTATCATAGATATATAATAGTCCACTTTAGAAGTTTCAAGTAGGTACCCACGAATAATATTATATAATCACAACAAAATAACTAGGTTTTTTAATATGTAATTTCGTCCAAATTTGAACATAAAATGACTATAAAAATAAACTGTGATTGTATATTTTTTAGATTTTTCGGTAAGAGAATTAACTACTTACGTGGAATCTTGTTTTAAATTTTCAATCCTTAGCTATAAAAACTGAACATTTTATAATTTATTAATTACGATGATTAATAATTTTCGAGATTTTGAAAAATTCTGTCAAAATTCGATGTTAAAACGCTTATAAAAAAAAAATTGTGCCAATGTATTTTTAATATTTTCAACTGATATTGTAACAATATATCAGGAGCCTTGTATTAAATTTTTTCACTTTTTGGCCCAACAGATAAAACTTAATTGATATTTATAGAAAAAAAAAACTAAAAAAATTGAAAACTGAAAATGTCCGTAAACGGCTCAAAAAGAGTCAAAATATTTTCAAAATTGTATGGTAAATAGGAAATGCTAATATAAACATTCAGTGAAATTTTCATGTATCTACAGTAATTCGTTTTTTAATTACAACAAAAAAAGGAAATTGCCACATGAGAAATCGAGTGAATATCCAATGTTGTAAAAATTTGAATTTCAAACGCTCATAAAAATTTAATTTAACTGTCCGGTAGAGATTTTTTTATTGATAAAGGTAGACAAACTTATGAGTAATCTTGTATTACATTTTCAAATCTTAGATTTAAAAAGAAAAATTTTTACGAATTCTTAACTCAAAATAATTTGCTAATTTTCGTGATTTTTCCATATTTTGTCAATTTTTGAACTTTAAATGCTTATAAAAAAAATTGTGACTTAGGATTTTTAATATTTTTCATCTGCCTTAGAAACAATATATTAGGAGCCAAGTTTTCGCAACCAACAAATAAAATTTTATTGATATTTCTAGAAAAAAAACTAAAAAAAAAATGAAAAATGAAAATGTCCCTAAACTGTTCAAAATAAATCAAAATATTTTGAAAATGTTATCGTGTATAGAAGATGCAAATGTAAACAACCAGTGAAAATTTCAAGGGTCTACGGTCATTTGTTTTAAAGTTACACCAAAAACCAAATTCAATTTTCTGAAAAATCGATTTTGCGTAAAAATTCCCGTTTTTCCTTAATTTTTCTTTTGTTTTTCCCGGCGCTCTTGAAAACTACTGGGAAATTTAAATTTTGACCTCCCCAATGCACCAACGATATTCACTTTCCAATCGAACAAGATACTGAAGTCGAAAATCGAAGCATTATTTCGACTACTTATCGTGTACACAGACACAAAAAAAATAAAAAAAAAATAAAAAAATAAATAAAAAAATAAATAAATAAAAAAACACACATCATTGTAAAATCAATACATTCATCGTTTCACTCAGAATCTAAAATGAAAAACGTTTTCCATCCCCGGTTATTACTAATTATTTCTTTTAACAGTCAGGTTCTATATACCTACTTCCCCGTATCGTCGGCAAGAGCGGAACCGTCCGTTGTCTCGATGTCATGAGGCTTCGTCCGTCCGCTCAGCACCGAGCTCACTTTGTATACTCTGAGTTCCGGAACACAGCGATGCCTATCGTTTGCGTATGGCGTTTGGCATTTGACGATATGAATATGTTATGATGTGTTTTTTTTTCCTCATCAATTTATCGGGCGATCCGAACGCCGGGCCGGGTGTACCTACGTATTTCAGTATTTGTAATCACATCGACTTGGCCGACGGGTCAGTTCATCCGATAACAGAAAAATCAAACGTCCCGTCCAAGTAGGTACAAACCAAAAAAATGAAAAACGTTTTCCATCCCCGGTTATCACTAATTATTTCTTCTAACAGTCAGGTTCTATATACCTACTTCCCCGTATCGTCGGCATGAGCGGAGCCGTCCGTTGTCGTCCGTCCGCTCAGCACCGGGCTCACGGTGTATACTCTGAGTTCCGGAACACGGCGATGCCTATTGTTTGCGTATGGCGTTTGACGTTTAACGATATGAATATGTTATGATGTGTTTTTTTTTCTCATCAATTTCAAATACCAACCCATGGCACATCCCATGGACACGATCGTCCCTTACATATTAAGCTAAATAATTCTAATTTTGATTTTTAAAAATGTATTAGTTATAAATTTGCCGTACTATACTATAGGTACACCATGTTACTATGATTTTATATTTTTATGTTTATATTGAGTTTTATTTTCTATATTATGTTTGGTGTTAGGTACTGTGTGTGTTTTATTACATAGTAATATATAATTTGAAATGTAATCATAAAATTGCCGATCGGCGTATATATATAAATAATTAATTAATTAATACATTTATCGGGCGATCCGAATGCCGGGCCGTGGTGTACGTATTTGTAATCACAGCAACTTTACCGACGGGTCAGTTCATCAGATAACAGAAAAATCAAAAGTCCCGTCCAAGTAGGTACAAACCAAAAAAATGAAAAAGGTTTTCCACTAATTATTTCTTCTAATAGTCAGGTTCTATATAACTACTTCCCCCTATCGTCAGCAAGAGCGGAACCGTCCGTTGTCTCGTTGTCACGGGGCTTCGTCCGTCCGCTCAGCACCGAGTTCACGGTGTATACTCTGAGTTCCGGAACACGGCGATGCCTATCGTTTGCGTATGGCGTTTGGCGTTTGACGATATGAATGTTATGACTAGGGCCCGGAAGTATATGCACTAGAAACTACCGAAATATGTATGCACTTATGCGCTTAAAAATCCTGATATATGCACTTAAATATGCTTAAATATTTTTTTTTTAATTTATAAATATTAGGAAAATAATATTTTTATTTCAATTTCTTTGACTATAGTGATTAAAAACATTATTTAATTAATTAATATACATTTTTAAACATTACAATTTACAATCAACGATTTTGATAAATTCTCAAATATAAACGACTGCTTGTTATCTTCCAACATATTCGATAACTTATCTTAATTAAATATTATATTGTGCAAGTTAAAAACGTTAAACGCCGACATCGATTCTGTACGGTCGATCGACTTAATAAGACAAAGACGATAAAGCTAGCTGTAATTAAAATGTATAAATAATAAATATAATATATATTAATATATTATATTAACCATTGGGGAAAAATATTGTTTATAATGCCAAATGGAAATTTTAAAAATATGATATAAGAATACCTAGTAAGTTCTCTCAATATAAATGTATTTGTTTTTTATTTACAAATTTTCATACTTTATCTTCATAAACTATAAAATATGCTCTAAAATTTAAAATCGCAACTAAATATGCAAAAATATTCACTATAAACTTTTGATATGTTTTTCGTAGTATCTTGGAATGCATTTCTAGCTCACTTAGCAACAAATCTAATGGTTCATATGGTTCAAAAAAAACATGCAAATTCATGAACTTCCGGGCCCTACACGAAAATAAGTAATTGTTATGGTAACCATTTAAACAGTTAATTTGACCCTAAATTTCTACTAGTTATACTTATGACGTGTCTTTTTTCTCATCAATTTCAGATGTCAACCCACAACACATCCAAATTAACACGATCATCCCTTACGTAGAATGCTACGTAAGCTAAATAATTCTAATTTTGATTTTTAAAAATGTATTGGTTATGAATTTGCCGTACTATACTGTACACCATGTTACTATAATATTATGTTTATATTGAGTTTTATTTTATACATTATGTTTGGTGTTACTGTGTGTTATAAATGTTTATTGCATATTATTATATTAATATATCAATTTTAAATGTAATCATAAAATTGCCGATCGGCTTATATATATAAATAAATAATAAATTTATCGGGCGATCCGATGCCGGGCTGCGGTGTACGTATTTGTAATCACAGCGACTTAACCGACGGGTCAGTTCATCCGATAACAGAAAAATCAAACGTCGCTTCCAAGTAGGTACAAACCGAAAAAATTAAAAACGTTTTCCATCCCCGGTTATCACTAATTATTTTTTCTAATAGTCAGGTTCTATATACCTACTTCCCCGTATCGTCCTTACGAGCGGAACCGTCCGTTCTCTCGTTGTCACGTGGCTTCGTCCGTCGGCTCAGCACCGAGCTCACGGTGTATACTCTGAGTTCCGAAACACGGCGATGCCTATTGTTTGCGTATGGCGTTTGGCGTTTGACGATATGAATGTTATGGTGTGTCTTTTTTTTTTTCTCATCAATTTCAAATACCTACCAACCCATGGCACATCCCATGGACACGATCATCCTTTACATATAGTAAGCTAAATAATTCTAATTTTGATTTTTAAAAATGTATTAGTTATAAATTTGCCGTACTATACTATAGGTACACCATGTTACAATAATATTATATTTATATTGAGTTTTATTTTCTATATTATGTTTGGTGTTAGGTACTGTGTGTGTTTTATTACATATTAATATACTAATTTTAAATGTAATCATAGAATTGCCGATCGGCGTATATACATAAATAAATAATTAATAAATTTATCTTGTGATCCGAACTCCATGCCGCGGTGTACGTATTTGTAATCACAGTGACTTGGCCGACGGGTCAGTTCGTCCGATAACAGAAAGATCAAACGTCCGATCCAAGTAGGTACACTGTGTGTGCGCCGTCGGTAAAATCAGTATTGCTCGAGACGCCGTCAGCAGCAACAGGTACAGATAATATTACAATATTCGCTTTGTATTCTCGTCGACATTACACGTTTTAATATTTCGTCCGTTCAACGTCGACAAAAAAAACTAACGAAAAACGATAATATGGTCGCCTACAAAGTGATTTTGGCCGTCGCCGTCGTGTTCTTGGCTGTAATCGTTCAAGTGAGCATAACAATATTATATTCCAATAATATAATAATCATATCATCGCAATATAAAATACTATACCTACGACATGGCGGGGCCGCATTTAGGGTAGGGAACTGCAGGGTACCAGTATTTTAGGGGCACCAAAATTTTGTGGTCAGAAATTTGTTTACTATAGTGAATTATTAAAATTTTATAATTTTAATTATTTTAATAACATAATAATTAATAATAATATAATTTGGTACAATAGTATTATGCTGTTTGAAATTTTTTAAATTAATATTAATTCGCACAGATTTATATTATTGTATTTTATTTATTCACGAAGTACCTACATAAATATGTTAAAAAAAACTTTTATTATGAATATTATACCTACGCAAGGTTTAAGTGACATACATTCAAATGCATCTTTCCGGAGAGAGAATTGAGCAATTACTAAACAATATTTTTTAAAAAAAACACACATTGTAAAACAAATATTCATTTCTGTGCTCAGAGCCTAAAAGGTTAATGATAATCTATTTCCCATATTTTAGAGGGTAGGCCCCTTAGATTTTTTTCACCGGAGCTTAGGGGGCGCCAATTTCTTTCGCACAGGCAAAACTGACATCAGAACTGACAACAGGGCAGCTATAACTCGCGATGTTGTTGTTTAGTTTTTTCCTCTTAAACAATGTCTGAGTCAATTATATACAAGTTCCGTTGTATACGACGTCAAAGATGATTATGCAAATTACATCATACATATCTAATAAATAATTCAAACAAATTCCAAAATAACCAACTAATGTGTCGATTTAGATCCAGAGTAGACCCGGCGTCGAAACCGAATTTACATCGATCTTCGACGAAGTAAAGTCCATAACAGGTAACATTGCCAAAGTGGTCGAAGATAACACCGCCAATATTACCGCCAATATTACCAATATTACCACCAATATTACCAATATTGCCGCCAATATGACCACTTCTGCCAAGAACCATCTGAGTGATTTCGCCGATGGTATCAAAACCGAAATCCAAAGTTTTTAGTAAACCGGTATGGCAAACCTCAAAATATTTTAACTAAACTAAACGTTTGATCATGTTGTTTGCATTACAATAAGTCGCTAACATTTTTGAAGCGTATGTTCTTAACAAGTTTTTTTTTTTTTTTACTCGCAGTTTGAAGGAAAATCTAAAGTTTAGAAGTCCGATCTGTTCAAGGAATCCACCAAGCAATTTCAAACAGTCGTCGATACGTACGCCCAGGACTTGCCTATAAATAAATTATGAATCTGTTTTTTTTTGTAAAAGTAATAACGAGTAGTAACTAATAAAGTAATAGAAAAAAAAAATGTAAACATTTATTATTCCTCATCGTGGACTCAAACATTTTTTTTAGTTTTGAATTATGTGTATGTACCTATATGGTAGTCAAAATAGTCAAATCGTAATACGTACCTACACACAGTTACACCAGTCGTTCTGATTAGTTCGCCAAATGAGCATTATACATTATACAATTTAAGAAAATAATATTTAAATAAATTGGGATGTAGTGATTTTTCAGCCATATTTATAAATATATACGTCACAAAAATTGAATTGATATTAACGGAAAATGGGCAATTAAAATAATGATTATATGCGTCAATTTAGTGTGTATCAAAGTATCATAATTAATACAATTTATACAAATATTGCGAAAATGTATTCTTTGAGGAGTATATTATAAGACTATATATATAATAAGTGCAGTTGAATATTATGGCTAAACGAATGACAAAAAACCCGTTTAAATATATATATAAACACTATCTTAACAATATTATAACATAAGTACAAAATGCAAATTAGAGCTTATATTTTTTATCCTTGTAATTTTTTAAGGTTTTTACTTTTTTGAATTATGGCATAGAGTTTTAATTTCATATTCCAAAGCAGAATATTTTTCTAAGTATTTTGATACATAAAAATCGAATTTAGGGCTAGTAGTTTATGAATTATAAGTATTTAAAGTTTAGATGGGCGGAGTGGAGTGGTATGGGGTTACCCCGCGAAATGTTTGTTCACTACTCCGATTGTCTAAACTTTAAATACACATAACTTATAAACTACTCGTCCTAAATTCGATTTTTATGTATCGAAATACAAAAATTCTGATTTGGAAAATGAAATTAAAACTCTATGCTGTCATTCAAAAAAGCAAAAAACTAAAAAATTATAAGGTTGAAAAATATTTAAAAATATAATATTTTAATAAAAACGTTGTTTATTCAACAACTCGAAACTATGTAAAAAATATTTTCAAAAACATTAATACTTTTTGTATAATGACTGTTGTACGCTTAGTGAATCACCCTGTATATTATTTATTAATAGTACTATTGAACAGGCTGAATCATTAATTACTAGCTAATTACTAGCTACAAGGCGAATAGGTACCGTATGAAAACGTTGGTGGTAAGAAGTTACGTAATATTATGTATATTTTTTTATTTAAAGAAATAATATTATATATAATAAATAATATATATTGTAAACAATGTCGTGCTGAAAGGAAACTAACTCGAGTTTTTAAGCGGGTATACGACTTTCAAAACTTTTCCATACTCTTTTGGATTCTGAGTGAAGTGGAGGTGAATTTATTGGCCTTTCCAATGATGTTTGCTGTTTGAACAGTTCGTCGGAAAACGTAGTTCTCCGTGGTAGTTAAAAAGCAAAGCAGTCGCATTACCTTGATTATGTTGTTTGCGTTACAATAAGTCGCTAACATTTTTGAAGCGTATGTTCTTAACAAGTTTTTTTTTTTCACGCGCAGTTTGAAGGAAAATCTAAAGTTTAGAAGTCCGATCTGTTCAAGGAATCCACCAAGCAATTTCAAACAGTCGTCGATACGTACGCCCAGGACTTGCCTATAAATAAATGATGAATCTGTTTTTTTTTGTAAAAGTAATAACGAGTAGTAACTAATAAAGTAATAGAAAAAAAAATGTAAACATTTATTATTCCTCATCGTGGACTCAAACATTTTTTTTAGTTTTGAATTATGTGTATGTACCTATATGGTAGTCAAAATAGTCAAATCGTAATACGTACCTACACACAGTAACACCAGTCGTTCTGATTAGTTCTCCAAATGAGCATTATACATTATACAATTTAAGAAAATAATATTTAAATAAATTGGGATGTAGTGATTTTTCAGCCATACTTATAAATATATACGTCACAAAAATTGAATTGATATTAACGGAAAATGGGCAATTAAAATAATGATTATACGAGACAATTTAGTGTGTATCAAAGTACCATAATTATTACAATAAATGTATACAAATATTGAAAAAATGTGTTCTTTGAGGAGTATATTATAAGACTATATGTATATAATAAGTTCAGTTGAATTATGGCTAAACGAATGGCAAAAAACCAGTTTAAATATATATATATAAATATTATCGTAACAATATTATAACGTAAGTACAAAATGCAAATCAGAGCTTATATTTTATATTACGGCCACTAAAACCGCTTATTACTTTTGAGTAGATTTTAGTAAATTTAACCGAAGTATTATAATGAATTTTTTTTTGCTTAAATTTTTGATCTTTCGTAAAGCAGTTTCGGACCTGTATTTTATAACGTAAATGTGATCTGAAACGTCAAAAAAAAAAAAATGGTGGGCCAGTAGATGTCACTCTGCTGTACAGTAGGTTACAAGTAGGTCACTGTATAATGGATGGTATTAAATTTGAATTCAATGGTATAATATATCATTGTATAAGAAAAACTATTCGGAGACGGTACGTCAGTCTAGGTATAAGACATATTATAACCTTATCTATCGTATTAAAAAAAATTTACCTATAATATGTACCTATAATAAATTCCAAATTAATCATATCATAATATCCATTAGGGACTTATAACGCGTTATACATCAACAAAAACCGTGATACTATCATAGATATATAATAGTGTACTTTAGAAATTTCAAGTACCCACGAATAATATTATACAATCACAACGAAATAACTAAAATAGTTATTCTAGGTTTTTTATGTTATTTTTTTATATAAATACATTTTTTTACTTTTTTATGAAGTTCTTACTCAAAATAATTTGCAAATATTCGTCATTGGTACGTATTTTGTCAATATGTGAACTTTAAATGCTTGTAAAATAAAATTGCAACTATGGATTTTTAATTTTTTTCATCTGCCTTTTGAAACCAACAAATAAAATTTTATTGATATTTATAGAAAAAAAAAACTAAAAAAGGTGCTCTGCTGTACAGTAGGTTACAAGTGGGTTAATGTATAATGGATGTAATTAAATTTGAATTCAATGATATAATATCATTGTATAAGAAAAACGATTCTGAGCGGAGACGGTATGTTAGTCTAAGTATAAAACATTTTATATACATATCATCTATGGTATTAAAAAAAAAATTGCCCTATAATAAATTCCAAATTACTCATATCACAATATCCATTAGGTACTCATAACGCGTTATACATAAACAAAAACCTTGATACTATCATAGATATATAATAGTGTACTTGCGTAAATATATGAGTAAAATTACCCGTTTTTCCTAATTTTTATTTTGTTTTTCGGGGCTCTTTTGAATAGGTACTTTTGGAAATTTTAAATTTTGACCTCCTAAAAGTACCAACTAGATTCACTTTCCCATCGAACAAGATACTGAAGTTGAAAATCGAAGAATTATTTCGACTACTAATCGTGTACACAGACACAAAAAAAATAAATATAAAAACACACATCATTGTAAAATCAATACATTCATCGTTTCACTCAGAATTTAAAATACTAGCATATGATATTATAATACAAAATAATACAATAACGATTACTGACATTACCTTTTTTTTTCCAAAAGTATTATAATATACAATTTTATACGGTTTGATGAAAAATAATAGAAATTAAAACCCACTTAGGATCGAAAGACGCGAAAAAAATAGTTAAATATAATATATTTTAGGTTATAGGACAAAATTCAAAATAATATGTAGGTAAGTCTATATACTTTTTAGTGTAAGTCATATGCTTTATTGCAATGGTCTGCTTGCCTTTAGTATATTCAGCCCCCCCCCCCCCCAAGCCAAAAGTTGAAATTGCTCCTATGGTACCTATTATACTATACTATATAGTTCGTCAGTTTCGAGTCTTTCGAACATACATCTATATGTTTCAGATAAAAGTCTTCCAACGCGGTGCAATAGATGATAATAATATTATATACTGTAAAATGTGTGCTTTATGAAGGATTAGAAATGAAAAAAAAAACCGTAGGTAGGTAATAAAAATCACGTCAAGTCGACCACCTGCGTCCTGCAATCTATAGTGTTCGTTAAATATAATATATTATCATCGATCTTAACTAGCTATACTCGTACACTCGTTGTCGGTAGGTACGTTCTTAGTGAGTGTAAAAAATATTAATATACATTTAAGAATTATATAATATTATGTATGCGTAGCGTACTATATATAAGTTCGTTGTTAAGGCGTTGTGTAAAAAACGGTAATCAATATAATATTTTTATCAACACGTCACGTTCACGTGAACTCATATGGTTTTAGACCGACGCGAACAAGAAGCGTTTTCTATTTAATCAGGGCAATTTTTTTTTTATCGATATTATACATTTTTCCTATACCTATAATATACTGCAGCAGCTGAACAATTCATTTCATTAAAAACGATGAAGTCGGTATTTTTTATATATTATGGTTCTTTTTTTTTTTCTACATAATTTGTAATTTTTTTTTCAGAAACAAAAAGTGTTTAACTCGCACTAGTATACACTAGTATACAGGGTGAATCATTAAGCGTGCAACACTCATTATCACAAAAAGTATTAATGTTTTTGAAAATATTTTTTTACATAGTTTCGAGTTGTTGAATAAACAACGTTTTTATTTAAAAAAACTATATTTTTAAATATTTTTTATCCTTGTAATTGTTTAAGTTTTTTACGTTTTTGAACGACGGCATAGAGTTTTAATTTCATATT